TAAATAAACCCTAGATTTCTTGCAAATGAAATATACGTAAGAAAGGCCCCAGATGTCGGTTTGACGAGTCATTACTTACAAGAATACAAATGTTAACATCATTCTCCAACATTTCCCATTGTCTTTCTCCATCACCTAAAGCTTGCCCTTCTTCAAACCCTACAGCTCTTTCTTTTTCTACATATTTTTTTGGGTTACATTGGTGATTGGCATTGAAACCGGAACATTAGGAGATGGATGAAGCTACTGAAAAACTATTGACAAACGAATCACAAAAGGATAAAGCTATTGAAAGACCATCGACAAATCGTAAATCACAGTCGAGCAACGTGAGAAAATTATTCACGAACGTAAAACGCGTATCTAAATCAATTTGAGGGTCTAAAGAAGAGAAGATCAACATGATAACAAATAAGTGTCATCTTGATCAGTCGTAGTGATGCAAATCCAACCATGAGAAAAAAGATAAACGAAAACAATGGCAAAAAATCGAGAACTCTACCAAAAGACAGAGATAAACATGCCACAAAGACATACATAAACGTGTCACAAAGACATAATTATTTTTATTAAAAACTAAAACAGAAACAAAGAAAAAAGACAACCGCCAGTCGGCATCTAGTATCAAAATTGATGTTGCCGCCGCCTAAACAAAAAAAAAAATTGATTCAATTTATAGAAAATGACATAAATCGTAAAAAAAAAGAGGGAGAGGGTGAAGGGAGAGAGATTAGGGTTTTTTTTGTTGTCAACACGAGATACATTGTAGGTATTAAAATATTATAATAATTTAATTAGTAATATATATGATAAAAAATATTATTAACTTATTTTATTGATGTGAGTTGATCCATTTTTTGCTCCAACTTATTTGCAATGGTGTAAGTGAATTGAGAAAATTAGTGAACACTTTGAGAAATGAATTATTGAAAAAAAAATATGATAAGTCATTTTACAGAGATAATCATATTTTTGTCATTGACTTATAATTTATTTTACACAAACTATTTTTTAGCACAAATATATGAAATAATATTCTTTTTATTAAACTTGAAAATAACACAATTAACATAACATAAACATCACTAACACGATATGGTTAGCAAAGACTAACACAACGTAATATAATAATAATTTTTTGAAAACGAATTTTATTTCACAATTTTATTGGTGTTTAGTCAGTTAAGCAAAGTTAAGAAAGATGGAACATTGAAAATATTAATTTAAAATTAAAATTGGATTACAAAATTCAAGGAAGTAAGCGCCGGGCGAAAATCATGAAAATTTTGGAACATTGAAAAGTAAATTAATTAATTTGGAACATATTTTTGCGAGTTTCTTATTACAATTTGGCCTTTATTCAACAATAATGTTGTTATAAAATAAAGAAACTATTATTATTAAAATTCCTAAATGACCCTGATTATTAATGAGTGTGTAATGCTATGGAGAGTCTAAGGGTGTTATTCGGTTAACTGACTGAACCGAATTACTTAAATTTCATTAATTAATTTTTTTTCGTTAATCATTAGTTGAGCCAATTTTTTTTAAAAAAAATTAACCGAATCAAACTAAGTTCGATTAAATGAATTAACTGAAATATATAAATAATATATATTATATATTTTTAGTTAATTCAGTTAATTTGATTTTAACAGAACAGTAAACATCTCTAGTGGAGATGAGACCTGCACGTGTAGCAGTGTCTACTTTAACTCGTGTTGTATGTCAGCGTCAGAATCAATTTGTCAACAAAGTCTATGTTTCTTTATTTAATTTGCACGTGCACCATAATTCCTAAGAATTATAAATTTTAACGTTGGGTAATAACCAACCTGTCGATTTTAGAAATCTTGAATTTAAATAATTATATAAAGTATGTTTATATTAATTAAGAAAATTATATATATATATTATTTTATATTCCTCTTAAGCGATTAAAAAAATTGAAAACGCATTATGTATAATAATAACATTTTCTATATATATGTATATAAATAAATAAAGGGTTAGTTTCATATCTAGAGGTCACTGGCGTATGTATGTTTAATTCAGGTGGAACCGGATTTCTTTACGTTAGTTGCTAATTTTATTAAAGGTATCTCTTCCTAAAATTTGAATTTTTTATGTTAGTCGTTCATTTACTAGATGTGTCCACTCTAAAATTTTATTTGTGCACATCCTATATATCGTTATTAATACATGCCTACCATGAAAAATATTTCTGGATCCGTCACGGCTAGCGGTGTAAATAAACCGAGATTGAACGAAGAAGGTTGTATTCGTGTTTGTTTGTTTGTTTTTGAAGCTATTTATATTCAATTCGTGTTCTTTTAATTTTTAGTATATTATTCGTTTATTTATTTTTGAAGAAGTTCGTGTTCGTTTATTTAACGTTCACGAATGTGTTCATTTAATGTTTGTGAATATTTTCGCTTAAATATTCGCGAACATGTTCGTTTATATGATAGTTTAGCGTTTGTGAATATGTTCGTTTAGCGTTCATGAACATTTTCGTTTAGAATAAAAGAGAAAAGAGCGAAGAGATTTTTTTGTGTTATAATAGGGAAAATGGTAAAACTACCCAACTATTGCTTAAACTTCTTAGGATTCATAGTTAAGCTCTAAATTTCATCACATATTCAATTTAGTATGTACCTTCACTAATATTCAAAATATAAAAAAATAAACGAGCTTTTAAATGAGTTTGTTTGTGAACATAAACGAACCGAACACACATTTATTTATTAAATGAACATAAAAATTTTGTCTATACTCGTTTATTTAACTTGATAAACGGGCATTCTACGAACTGTTTACCGAACGCTTTGCTCATTTAAGCCCCTAATCATATCTTTGTTTTCTGCGGTTATGCTAGGCAGGTATGTGGGTTAATTTTGAAAGCTTATTGTGTGAATATGCAGGTTGCTTCTTGAAACGGTAGGGGATGGGTTTGCAATGAGCTATAATTCGTATTGCTCGGAATGCTATAATTCGTAGGGGAAGAGTTTTTTGTTGAATTGATATTGGGACCAATACTAAAACATGTTGAACCCTCCTCTAAATTAGTGGCTAAAAGTGATAAATATTTTAATCACTTGATAAATTAAATTAAAAATAAGCCTTCCTATCGTTGTATGTTGACGTGGCCAACAAATGAGCATGACTTAAAAATGGTCATTTTGGGCGATGGTGGGATAAATTGGCTGCCTTTGCCAATAAGGTCGATAGATGCCAATGCCAATGCCTTGTCTATATGTCCAATTCTTCTTATTATTCTAACCTTGTCATACTCATAACCCTATTTTAGTAAACAAACAAATCTTTTTGTTTTTAAAAATGAGAATGAGAACAAAATTTATACTCAAAATGTGGAAAACAAAGTTTCCTTATTCCCATTTTTCCCGGAAACGTGCTTTTGTTAGTTTCCAACACTACACATGATAAAGTGAATAGTATTTATAAATTATATATTTTTATGAAAAAAAAACTCAAAATAGTATTTCATTTAAAACATGTACTATTTTCTAAAATTAATTTGAAATGATAACTTAATTATATCTTTTTAAATTGGATTAAATATTTTGAATCTATTATTGGAAGGGGTTGGCAGTGTAGGACCGTGGGGGTAAACATGCTGGGGATGTGTGTAAGGATTTAAGGGTGATTTGAAAGTGGAAGGGGATGCTAATTAATGCTGTATTGCTAACCTACTTTACTTAAACTAATCCAAATCAACATTTTAAACATTAATTAGTAAACTAAACCATTAATAAACATAAGCCCTTCCTTCCATTGTTACTATCATTTAATTCATTCATTTTTTGCTTCTTATTTTTCTTCTTGTATTATGTAATCGCATAATATCAAATTTTACCACTAATATTCAAATTTAAATTCACTTCTACGGTCACTTTTAAAATATTTTAGTCTCAATATTTATTTTAGGTCAAAATGATCCTTAATTAGATGAAAACTTACAATCAATGTTCGCCGTTAATTTGATAATTCTTACATATCTAAAGTAACTAAGATATGATAGTGAAACATGATCACTTTATATATGTGGTAATATTATATTAACATGTCATGTGACATGTGTTAGATCATTTTTTTATATACGATATTGTCACATCATCACTTTAGACAAATAGTAGTGTCACATTATTATTTTGAACACGTAATTTGTAGCATGTCATTACTTATGTGTACATGATTGTATCATATCAATACTTTAGATATATATGACTTATTACAAGAGCAAAAGAATTCTAATCCTACCAAAAATCATTTTAATTAAAAATAAAACGTTGAAAGACTAAATTACTTAAAAAAATATAGAGATTAAAATAATCATTTAATCAAATATTAAGAATGAATTTTCGTATTATATCTTTACGTATATTTTTACATCAATAAAATTGAAAATGTAACATGAAATTTTAGGGTTTTCAGTTTCACCATATCGTGGGGAAATTAAGTCCACTTTCAGGTGGGAAAATAGCAAAGGGAGAGGGACCACTGTTTCTTTTTCAACCCTAAATATATATAGCTATTGTAGCAAAGGGAGAGGGACCACTATACCATATATATATATATATAATCTTTCAGGTCACCGAAATGAGGCAATTTCTTCCCAATATTTTTCCAATGATTATTTATTTTGGGTTGATGAATGGATGGGTGTGACCAGCTGATGATCTACCTATGACTGAAACTGCAGCTTCCTCTGATTAATAATAATGAAGACATTTGAACAATAGTTGAAATGAACAAGTAACAAATTGAATGTCATTTGTATAAGAAAATGAGACTGAAAGGTTGCAAGAGGGTTTTATTTAAAAAGAAAAAAAGAAAATAAACAATAAAAGATGTAGCCCAATAAGGGGACCAATTGTAATTAACAATTGATGTTAAATCATCCACCTTCCTCTTCTTCTGGTGTTTATAATCACCCTTTAGATGATAATTCTAATTAGCTCAAACCCATCTCTCTTAAACAACCCACTAAAATACCCATAAAAAGAAGGAAGAAGATGACAGGTTCTAGTTCACCTTGTGGTGCCTGCAAGTTCTTGAGGAGAAAATGCGTCAGGGGCTGTGTTTTTGCACCTTATTTCTGCCATGAACAAGGTGCTACACATTTTGCTGCCATACACAAGGTGTTTGGTGCAAGCAACGTTTCAAAGCTGCTTGCTCAACTCCCTCTAAATGACCGCTTTGAAGCTGCTCTAACCATTTCATATGAAGCTCAAGCTAGGGTTCAAGACCCTATTTATGGCTGCGTTTCCCATATCTTTGCTCTCCAACAACAGGTTTGTTTTGTACCAGAAGATAGGATGGATCAAGGGAGAACGAGCGAGAACAAACTAAAAGTAGTCCCTTGAAAATTTTAAATTATCATATATGTTAAATATTTTGTTTATATTTTCTATTGATGATATGTTTTCCTTCTCTAAAATTTTGTTTAGCATAAAATCTTATCTCCCTCCATGGATTTTAAAAACCCTAATTTGAGTCTCGAGTGGAGATCTGATTGTTTCTTTCTCTGCAGGTTTTCAATCTACAGGCACAGCTTGCTTCTCTCAAAGAATTACAAGCAGCTCAGAGCTCTGTTACTGAAAACCCTAATGACCGATACCATGGGAAACTTCATAATCTTCAGGATTTCCAAAGTTGGTTTCAGACGGATAGTACACCGAATTTTGATCCGAATTCATACGGGTTGGTGTTGGATCCGACTAGCTCTTTGAGGAACTTCGAAAATTCAGGCAGCTCTTCGGGATCCGAGGATTGTGTCTCGTTTACTACAACTTTTGGCATGCAGACAAGCAACAGACAATGGAATAATTGCCAGGATGTTGCTGTTGATGACCTTCAAGCAATGGCCTTTGGCTATGCTCAACATTCATGAAGAAAGTTGGGATTAAAAATCGGTGAACCTTCCATTTTTGAATTGCATGCTGCATATTTTGGGACATATATAAATATATTCACCTTTTGTGGCTATAAATAAAAGCTACGAGGAACCCTAGATTTTGTTCATAAAACTAGAAACCCTAAATTCTACCTTATTACTTGTTTGATATATAATCTAGTGTAATCCTACCCTATTACTTGTTTGATATATAATCTAGTGTAATCCTGGAATATTGATAAAGTTAATAATATTTCCCCTCTCTAAAAAAAAACTGGAGAACTTGATCTGGTTTTTGGTGAGGAATATTTAGGGACAAATATGTTCTAGGAGACGAATTTATTAAATTTTAGAGGGTGTAAATTCTACCCTATTACTTGTTTGATATATAATCTAGTGTAATCCTGGAATATTGATAAAGTTAATAATATTTCCCCTCTCTAAAAAACCTGGAGAACTTTATCTAGTTTTTGGTGAGGTATATTTAGGAACAAATATGTTCTAGGAGACGAATTTATTAAATTTTAGAGCGTGTAAATTCTACCATACTTGTTTGATATATAATCTAGTGTAATCCTGGAATATTGATAAAGTTAATAATATTTCCCTCTCTTAAAAAACTAGAGAACTTGATCTGGTTTTTGTTGAGGTATATTTAGGGATAAATATGTTTTAGAAGACGAATTTATTAAATTTTATAGGGTTAAAACATGATATCAATAAAAATATATAATGATTTAAAATTTTCAGAGGAACAATTGCCATCACCTGTTTCCTTTCATCATTATATTTACCTTGTTTATGGACTTGGTATTATAGGGACCTCGAGTTTTAACGTAATAAATTTATGTTATCTTTAATTACTTTTCTATAAACACTTCCCTTTATAAACCCTGAAATCATGTAGGCTAAAATATAAGATGTTACGTCATTAATCAAGGTTAAAGTTTGAGTTTTAATGTTGTGAATCGAATAATTGGATAAAAGCATCATTTATATTCGATTTATGTATTACTCGATTTGGATTAATCGATTAATATATTAAATATTGATGGTTATTCAAAAAGATACTTTTATCGAATGCTCTATTTATGTATTTAAGTACTGACCTAAGTAATCGTCAACCCAAGTCAGTAAAATTAGTGCATGTGGTTTAGCTAAGATTAACTTTGTCATACCCAACAATTTCAATAGGTGACTAAAATGAAAATTTTGAAAGTTGATGGCTAAAATATAAAATTAGAAAAGTTTAGAGACTTAAAGTATAATTTTGAATATATATATATATTTGGTCCTATAAATGGATAATTTACCTTAAAAAAGATTTTTGTGTCTGTTAGATTTTTATCCGAAATTTGTAGAAAAACCTATTAATCGGTAAAGTTCGGTAAATAATCTGATATCCAGATCAAATGAAAAATTTACAAAAAATTTAAGAATGGTAGTATGAGGTTAAAAATTTTGTTTTAGTATTTTTTATGTGAATAATTCGAAGTGGATCAGTCAGATTAAAATAATTTACCCTTTCTTAGTGAAATAGTGCAATTTAGTGACTAAATTGAAATTTTATAAAATTGGAAGGACAAAAAGTGATATTGATAGATGATATTTTATAGTTATTTAGGACTATTAAAATAGAAATAAAGGAGTGGCATGGAGGTAAAAATAAGGATTCCTTAATGGTAGTTTAGACTTTTGGTGCAAAAAGAATTAAAAATTCATTTTAAATTAGTTTTTAATGGTTTAATTAAGAGAGAATTTCATAGAATTCTCTTGAAATTCTTTTTCTTCTCCAACAGCTGACCGTAACCTCCATAGCCAAGGTGAGTGTGATTTTCTTTTTCATTTTTGGCCCATTTTAATTAGAATTTGGACTAAAGTGTGAAAAAGGAAAATGTTCTCCACTAAATTCTCTTTCTTTGGTACACTTTTGCATGATTTCATGCATAAAGAGTGAAATGAGTTTTTATGGTGGTTGAAGAGAGGTGATAAATCAATGAAATAAGATTGAATTTTGATTATAGTAGTGTTATGAAATCAATTACAAGGTTAAAAGTTAATAAAAAAACAACTATGGGACCAAGATGTAAGTATACGGTCATGTATGGGTAGTATGAGAAATGTTAATTTTTGGTTATTTTTTATATATGAATGATTAGAAATGAATGAAAAAGAGTTGTAGGCGACTAAATCAAGTTTAAATCAAAGTTGGAGACCATTAAGGAAAGATTCCAAAATTTTAGGCCTTAAGAAGAAATATAAGAAAATTTATGCAAAAATTTCTTTAGGGTTTGGATTAGATCGAAGAATGATTTCATGCGATTAGAATTAAGTTTTGGATCAATTTGGAGTAATGCTAAGTTTATGAGACCTTTTTGCAAGCTTGGTGAAGTTGAAAGATTATTAGGTAATTGTTGGGAAATTGAATTACTATGCTGGAAATTGGTGTTAAAATAGTGAATTGGACTATTTTGTAGAATGGTAAAAGATGGAGGACTAAGTTGGAAGTCTAGGGGAAGTTGATGATGAAATGGTAAAAATATGGGATTAAAGAAATTGCTTGGAAAAAAATTGTTTGGAGTTGAAAATGGTGATTGACGAGGAATAAAAGTGATTAATAGGGACTAAATTGAGGATTTCCGAATTATGGGGATTAATTTAGAAGAAATATGTAATTTTGGGTTTGTTGTTAAATTATGAAAAGTTAAGTGATTTATGGTTAAGAAGTATTATGTCAAGGACTTGGAAGGGAGTATAAAAAGAAATAAAGTTGATTTAAATTAAGGAAGATAAATTAGTTTCGAATATGTATTGATTGTATTTTTTTAGAAATTTGTTTAAATATAAGATTATAATATTAGTTTAAGTATCAATATTAATATGTGTTCGAAATTGTCTATATGTTGGAAATCGATAATCGAGTAGTTCGTGATTATAATCAAGATCAAAATGAACTAGATACGAGGGTTATAAAGGTGATCGTAAAGTAAGCTAGTGAGGCACCAGATGAGTGCAACATAATTATTTTATATTCGATATGAGGACGGCTTGCGATGATCCAACCTCGAAGTTTTTCAATTGAAACAATTTGAATTATTTTATGAAATATCTTTATACTGATTTACTAAATGTTTTTATATGATTTTGGGTTTGAATAATCCAAATTATTTTATTCGGTATTTTATTTCATATCATGTGAATATTTTTGGCTATGAATAAGAAAAGTATGGATTTGACATGATCGGATTTTGAAAAAAAATATTTTTGCGTTGATATGAACTAAAATAGAAAAGTACAAATCTAAAATGGCACATTACAGTTTGAATTACAGTTTTTTATAATAAATTCTTATTACGAGTTGACATCTATTTTATACATGTTTTATTTTATTAACGTCTTTATATGATATTACTTGTTTTAAAAGTTAAATATTTTATTTATTTTATTTTACTTGGTTGCCTCACTAAGGTGATATTTGTTTTCACTGTTTAAGGTATTCAAAGCTCTTATGTCTGCGCCGCACAGACTATGCGCAGACATTGGGCTTCGCATACCGTTTGTTTTTTAGAAGACAGAAGCTCTTCTAACGTCTGCGCGTCTTCTTGGCGCAGACGTGGACTTATGTCTTTAAAGCTCTTCTAACCTCTTCAAAGAACTATTTTTGCTATTAATTTTTTAAAAATTATAAAATGTCATTAAATTTAATGAACTATTACAAAATAATCACTATAATATTGTAATAAATTATAAAAGTTCGATAATATAATAATTATTTTATAGTATTTAGATAAAAATTTTTAAAATTTTTATAATCTTTGAATAAATTTAATAAGTATTTTATAATTTTTTAAACTTTATTGACGAAAATGATCATTTGTATATAACTCAACGATATCTAATATACTTTATTTGATATTTAATAAGTATTTTATATTTTTTTCAGATAAATTATATTAGATATAGTTAAGTTTTATACAAATGATCATTTTCGTCAATAAAATTTAAAAAATTATAAAATACTTATTAAATTTATTAAAAGATTATAAAATTATTAATAAATTTATCTAAATACTATAAAATAATTATTATATTATCGAACTTTTATAATTTATTACAACATTATAGTGACTATTTTGTAATAATTCAATTAATTTAATGACATTTATAATTTTTAAAAAATTAATAGCAAAAATGGTTATTTGAGTATAGTTTAAAAAATCTGTTTATTTTAACAGTCTGCAGACGTTAAAAAACAAACAATCTTCTTCTTGCAGACTGTAGACTTTTGGTCCATCTCTTCTGTTGCACATATCATTGCTAAAAAAAATTAGTTCCAAACATAAGATTTGACAGAACTGTTGTCGGGTTCTTTAAATCTACTGACCATGGCTTGGGCTGGAAACAAGGGTCGACATTTTATTAGGCTTTTATTGGCCCATTTGATTTAGCTGGATTTATCTAATAAGTCCACCATCATTTTTTTTCCTTCCAAAGGTAACAGTTTCCCCCACATTCTTTTTGTCCTTAGTATTCACTGATTTGCTTTCACTTCCTTCGGTCTCGTTGTCTCATTTGTTGGAAAAAAAGGTTAACTAAGTGGTTGAAATATATTATTATTTGTTTAAATTTAGATATTAAAATATGTTCAGTTAAAGTAAAATTCTCAGATTTAATATTTTAAATATAAAAGATATTATTGCCTGTTTAAATTTAGATATTAAAAGAGTTTAATTTGAGTTAAACTCTCTTGAAATTCCCCGATAAATATTGAGCAAATCACTCATTTTTTCACGACTCAGAATTCAAGAAGTTTTATACTCTTGAAAAATATTTTCTCTCATTCTTAGAAAATATTCCTTTTCCTTTAGTCTTTCCGGTGATAGTGATAAGCATCAATTGATTCCGATCACAAAATCAAATATAAATAATATTTTATTTCCTTTTATTTCTAAAGAATTTGATTATTTCTTTTACTTTTTCTTATGTTCCAATTTAGT